CCCCGGCCCAGCCGCCTGCCAGCGGCCCCGCTCCCACGTACCGAATTTCCACAGGCTGCTGGGGCTGCGCAGGACGGCCCCACGTGCCGAGGGGCGGCTTTCCTCCCGGCCATGGCGTTTCCCTCACCACCGTGGGGTTTCACCAGGGCTCAGAGCCCCACCGGAGTTCTCCTCATCACCGGGAGAGCTCAAACCAGTCCCGTGGGAGCCACCGCCGTGCTGGGGGTCCCCCCGAGCCTGCAGTGGTGGCTCAGACCCCCAGTACCTCCCAGTTTTTGCTGCTGGACAGGGGGTGGTCCCAGCGCAGCCTGAGCTGGGGGGCACGTAGAGATGGGCTGGGGGTTTCTGGGACCCCCGCACCGCATGTGGGGACCCAGCGGGCTGCACCCCAGTGCAGGCACAGGCACAGCACAAATATGTACTTGAAGGCAAAACCTGGTTTGAATTCCCAGCGCAGCCAGCACCCTGGGCCCCTCCCAGCAGGGGCTGCAAACTGGGGGTCCAGGGACCCCCTTCAGCACAGACACTGCAAATTGGGGGGTGCCAGGGACCTCCGGGGCCCCCTCCAGCACAGAAACTGCAAACTGGGGAGTGCTGCAGACCCCCAGGGCCCCTCTCCAGCACAGACACTGCAAATTGGGGGGTGCCAGGGACCGTCAGGGCCCCTCTCCAGCACAGACAGCCCAAACCGGGGATGCCTAAGGATCCCCGTCCAGCATGAACTTCGCAGGTTGGGGACCCCCAGCTGCACGGGGGGTCCCCCCCAGAGCCCCTGGGACCAGCGACTCACCGCGCTGCGGCTCCACGCTGAAGGCTCCGCGGCGGCGCAGGGGCATCCCCGGGCAGGGGGGAACCGGGGGCCGGGCAGGGCGCACCGGCGGCCGGGGAAGGAGCACCGGGAGGGCCGGGGAAGGAGCACCGGGAGGGCCGGGCAGGGCGCACCGGGGGCCGGGCAGGGCGCACCGGGGGCGGCCCCGCTGCTCCTCCGCCGCTTTATGGAGCACGGCCCCGGGGCGGGGACCGGGGGGGGCCGCTCCCTGCCCGGGCAGCACCTTTGCCCCCAGCCCCGGCCCGGGGCTCTGCTACCCGAAGCGTTTATTCCTCTTTTTCCCGTGCACACGCTGCCAAGGCAGGACCGTCTCCATCCCACCCTGGGGATGCTGAATTAAAGTGCTAACAGCATTGAGCACTGCAGACCTGGAGCTGGCATGGGGCTGTGCCTGCCTGTACCCCTGCCTGTACCCCTGCCTGCCTGAGACCTGGCAGGGACCCCGGGCAAAGGGACCCCCCGGCCGGTGCACGGGCAGACCCACACGTGTCCAGCAGCGAAGGGCCCGGGCCTGATCCCTCTGGGAATTCGGTGCCTCCATGGTGAGAGCTCGGCTGAGCCCGGGGTGCACGGGGGGCTGCGGTGTACCCCCAGGCAGAGAGCGGGCAGCGGGGCAGGGGAGCCGGCCGGGGCTGTGGGGAGCCATGGGACGTGGGAAGGGGCTGGTCCTCGGCCAGGCTTGGTGGGGAGCTGCCGATAACAGCAAAGCCCAGATAACAGCAAAGCCCATCTCCGTGCAAACAGGCACGGAGGGCTGAGAGCAGCGATAAGAGCCCACCTGGGCCTCTGCAGGACAAAGACCCCGGCCAACAGCCCGCAATAAATCCCTGACACCTCCCAGGGACGGCCAGAGCAAGGAGGGGACTGTCCGGCCCCGCGGGGAGCCCTGACCTTCCCGGGAGCAGGGCAAGGCCAGTCAGCACCAAACCCCGTGCACCAGCAGAGCACCAGACCCCTGGAGCCTGTGCCAAGCCCCGCAGCCCACCGCGGGGCAGGGCGTTCGCTTCCAGCTCCCCACCGCTGCTCTGGGTGCAGGCAGGAGGGCTGCGGGGTCCGGGGTCCCTGCCTGCACCCTGGGGCTGGGGGGAAGCCCACCTTCCCCAGCCCTGGGAGGGC